GGATTTCATGATCATTAAACACTTCAGCTTCATTATAGAATACATATTTGTACCCACCAATCAAAGTTTTCTCTGAATCGCCTACAATTGTGACATCATCAATCATCTGCATAAACAGGGCTGTCCAACTTCAGCACAACTGGGAGCCACACATGGCACCGGCATGTTACCCTCTAGGCCACATACTGTGCTGGCAATACACTGCTAGGCTGAGCCCCTGGGATCTCTTCACCCCACCACATGGGCAGTGCTGGTAGTGTGCGCCTCCCCCACCTCCAATGTGCACAGGCAATGTGCAGACCTTTCCAGTGTCCTGCAGTGTGGGCTGCATGTTCAGCACACAGTCTCTTACCTCTCTGCCATGTGAACACTGATGGCATATGTCCTTCTCCCCAGACCCCTTGGTGTGCAACTGTGGTAAAGGTGGTTGTGGGGGCCTGTGGGCCACATGCTGGCTCCCCATGGGCTGCGTGCAGCCTGGAGGCCACCAGTTGAACAGCCCAAGGCTGGGAATATTATCCATTAAATGTTATCCCTTAGCCTGTTAATTAACTTAGCAGAATGGTTGTCAGGGGTGACTGGTGCCTCCTGAGTCTGGGGTGTGGGTGGGGGTGGGGAGGGAAGGCACAATTTGTGGGTGGGCCCAGGGGCAGGCCAAAAGCCCCATATCCACTCCTATACTTTTGTGCCATGGCTTAGTGCCCCCTCCCACACACACTGCTGGCCCGCATGGCAAAAAAACTGTCTCATACTGAGTGGGGGCAACATGCTTTGTGGCCAGAGGCTGCTAGAGCACCAGCAGCAGGCAGCCCAGCACCGGCAGGCAGAGGATGTGCTGTTGCTGGTGCTCAAGGTCCCACCATGGCCAGAGGCTGCTTGAAAGCCATCAGCAGGCAGCCCAGTGCAAGCAGGCAGAGCACGTGCTCCATATCCCCCTGTGGTTCTGGGCTGCTTGCTGCTGCTGCTTGGGTGGCGTCTGCCCATGGGAGGAACTAGAGCAACAGAAGCAGCAGCAGCAGTGGTTTCCCTTTGGGCAGGGCTGCCATCTTTACAGCTACCTTTTTTGGACCCTCTAGATGTGTTCTGTGAACCATGGGTTGAAAACCTAAGTCAGTTCTCATACCTAAAAATATATATAGTTACTTTGGCAATGGTCCTTTACTTTGGAGCTACTTTGAAGTGAAACATTGCTGTATTTATTGAAATCAATCTACTGCCAGCAAACATATGCGGTATTCATCAACAGTTGAGAGGTCAAAAATCCTGAGGCAGTTACCGGCAATTTTTAATTAGATACTTCACTTTCACAAAAATCACATAAGACCTTATGAGTAGGGACATACTGAATTCGGGGTGGCTGCCCTCCGATTTCATAGGCAGAATGCAGGGCCCAGCAGCCATTTCATGGGCAGACTGTGGTAGACCCTACACCTCTGACTGGCTGAGGGGATCTATCGGCCCTGCCTCTCACCACTGATTGGCTGCAATGGCTACCTGTCATACAGCCCCATGTCTCACCACTAATTCAGCTGAGAGGGCTGTCATGTGGCTCTGCCTCTCACCACCAGTTGGTGGAAGGGGAGGGTCACATAACATGCATCCCTAGCAGCCAATCAGTGGTGAAGTGTGGGAGCAGAAGCCATCTTGCCAGAAGCCCTTCAAGCAGGCAGACCCTCATGCCGTCTGAGGACTGCTGGCTCCCTCTGGGGAGGCAGCAGTTTCTTTTTGGTAAGGTTTTTTCCTGTGGATTTCATGGGCATTGACTGATTTCATGCTGGATTTTGCAAAATCTGTGAAATTGCAATTTTGGCTGGTCCCTACTTATGAGTGATTATATACTTTACTTTCTTGTGCATTCATCACTTACCAATAAAAGGAAATTGTCAATCCAGTTATAGACATCAGGTGATTTTATATTTCCAAGCCAAGGTTCCTGGTGTACTTTCTTCACAGCTGTGCGCCCAATGTCTTCAACTGCAGGATGCAACATTGCAAAAGGAACACTGATCCACTACAATCAAAGAGTGACATTTTATTTAGATTTTAAGACTGAAAATATTCAAGTAGAAAATGAAAAAAACCCTAATTTCTTTATTGTTTGATTCAGTTCTAATGTCAGATTGGAATACAAGAGAATCAAATTTGCTGCTGGTATAATTATGTCAATAAAGAATAAGCTGTCCCCTAAGCACATATCAAATCCATGTGTCTATATATTTTACAGAATTAATTATTCTACACATTTCCACACTTTTGAAAGTTAAACCCTTCTTCAGGAAAATGAAACCTACTACAACCCTGAAGCAAGGCCAGGTGTTGTTATAGACCTACTTCTTTGAATTCATGTAACTCCTGTACTTTTCACTCTGAGCATCCTTTGTGTGCCTTTAGGGTAGGGCTCACCAGATTTTGGGGAATGCCACTACCAAAAGGTGGATGAGCTCATGTTTTAACATGAGAGATAGCTAGAAAAATCAATTTCATTACATCGTGGGGATTTGGAATGGAGTTTTGATCTATGGGGAATGCAAGCACAATCTATTAAAAAATCATGAAAAAAATATGGGCAAGCCCCTCCTCCCTTCTTCAGGTACTGCCTTGAAATGTGGAAATAGAGGTTTAAGGCTCTTTCTCAGATCAGGGACTTGAATCTTTGCTCTTTACACACTAGGAAAGCATCATAGTATTTAGCAGACAAGGTTCTTCAGGTATTTAGCTATCTTCTGTTCTGCTGTTTTTTCTTTATTCTCTTTTGCTTTTCTTTTTTGTCTCTAGTTTGGATCAGAAATTCTATTCTAGACCTGAGAAACTTTCCTAATAAAAAATTAGTTGAAACATACCTTTTTTAGAAACAGTTTTTGTTTCTATGAATTGTCATTTTCTGAGAAATAACAATCTGCTCTAGTTAACTTTCTGACAAATTCTTTCTCATTCATCAAATCAATTTTGGAGGCTTAATTCTAATCTAACCTACACCTATTTTATATTTGAATAATTTAATTAGTTCCAGTGAACTTATTCCCAAATTGCACTGATGAATATTAGATGAAAATTGGGTCTGCATATATATTATGTAAAATATAGAGAGGACCCATAGTACTTCCAATTAAAGTTGCTCAATACTTTCCAAAAGATTTTCAGTTGCTTGTGACTTTGTCAAACTGGGCATTTGGGTTACAAATTTCCATTTTGAATGTGTGTTTCCACCTGAATTTTTCTGAGAAAATTTCCTGAAAATGGTTCAGCTATCTCCAATACTAAGGCTATGAAATAATGAGTTGCTTTGCTGATGGAAAAAAAAATCTGGGAATCTCTTCTTTAAGAACCTGTATTACTTTGCTCTGGTATAAGGACTTGAATTATGGCTGCACCTTTCTTTCATCCTTCTGAAAATATGCCAAATTTACCAAGTTATAAATCCCTGAAAAATTGCACTTTGCACGTGCTCAGTTGTGACATCTTAGATTTTAGCAGAGAAACTTTTGGGAGATTCATTTTGATCTGAACAAGCTTCAGCTCAGGCTTTCTTTACAATTTCAACTATGAGACGCTACAAATGATTCTGGATCCAAGCAATGGAACTGATAACAGGGAGCCTAAATATCTCACTGGCCCCTGTCAACATGGAGTAGGAAGCTATCTGGTTTAAATGCAAAGTGAATGAAAGCTGGACATGAGAGGTGGGATGAGAAGCATGCTGACACAAAGAGTGCAGTATGAAATTGGGACTGGAGACTGACTCAGGGAGAGAGGAAATTTGGGACTTAGATCTAAGGTAGGAAGGGCTTGGAAGGGAGTCAGGGATAAACTGGGACTGGTTGGGTAAGGAAACTAAAGACAGAGAGTTATGGAAAAGGAGAAGAAACTAGAAATGCCTGGGCAATAATATGGTATTGACTGTGCCTAGAGATATGGGAATTCTTGCAAGGTAAAACTAGGACTTGCTGAGAAAGGAGATTGGGACTATGAGGTAAAACCAGAGAAATGAGGATGAGGAACCAGGGATGGGAAAACACACTGGATCAGTAGAGCACAAAATTCTGCAGTGTGGATTTGGACCTAATGCTCTCGACTTGCACCAGTCTTCTCCTGTCAGCAAACTGCTGTGAGACCCAGTGGAAAGAGTCCTATTCCCATTGAGTGCTGGTCAAAACAGAAGATGACAACCACTGTTATCAGTTATTCCAACAGTGCAAGTCAGAAAGATCTGTTTTATATTTATAGTTCTCAACCCCATGATTACCCACGTGGCTGGCAATATAATTCCATAGACTAGAAATTCTGATCTGTAGTTTTTTCTTTAAATAGGAAATTAAATCTGATATGTTTTCAAAAAGAATATTACTGAGGTTAAGCAAAGTTATTCATTCAGAAATGAGAAAAAGCTAGAATGAAAGCTCCGTGTGTAACCTTAGTTTGCTTTCTCTTGTGCACATGCATTTTTATAGTTTTTAAGAACATAATCACATACTATTTTTTCCACAGGACTCCTCCTTGTTCAGTGCACATGCTGGACGGTACTTAATGAATAGTCATTATTAGATATTTTCTTTTCTCATTGTTAAATGTGTGGCCCTGTTCTTTATTCACTTCATACTATTCAAACCATACTTTGAGGACAGACACATCCAGATGTATGCATTGGTTCCAAAGAGGATGGAGCTAGACTGCTGTCAGTGGTGGCAGATGACAGAACAAGGAGCAAGGGTCTGAAGTTGCAGCAAGGGAGTTTTACGTTGGATATCAGGAAAAATGTTTTCACTAGGAGGGTGCTGAAGCAATGGAACAAGTTAACTAGAGAGGTGGTGAAATCTCCATCTTTGGAGGTTTTTAAGGCCTGGCTTGACAAAGCCCGGGCTGGGATGATCTAGTTGGGGATGGTCCTGGTGTGAGGAGGGGGTTGGACTAGATGACCTCCTGAGGTCCCTTCCAGCCCTCATTTTCTATGATTCTATCGGCATTTCCAAATGAATGCGGCCATGAGGTATGCGGTGCTGCAAAAACGTCTGTGGCACCACATACCGCACAATCAGGTATTCTTCATGCTGCAAGGGCATGCTGCCTGTGCATGCACTGCTCTGTTTTTTTCCCCATGGTTTTTTTCACCAAAAAACTGTGGAAAAAAACCCCAGAGCAGGGCACGTACAGGCAGCACGCGCTGCTGAAAGTGGAGCCGAGAGCCATGCTGTGGCTGCCAGTCAGACTCCGCCTGACAGGATTGCTGCTTCTGCAGTCGTGGGAGGTCTCCTAGGACCCTTGGTAGGGCACAGTGCTGGCCCCAGCCTCCCCACCCAGTGTAACTTGCTGCATGCCAATGTAAATGTGGCATGGGTAGTTCCCGAGGCACAAGGAGCTGCAGCGCAAGATGTGCCCGTGCTACTTGTCCTCAGGGAACCAAATGTCCACTCTTGTCTGATGATTCTATTTCCACGTGGGTATCTCCATGGCGTACATGATTATATGATCTACATTTAAAAAAACCCAATTCTAATTGATCTCAGCATGCTGATTAAGTGAGGATGGCACCGTTCCCATTTTATGTATGGAGACCTAAGGCATAGGCAGTTTAAGTCCAAGTTTTTGTGCCTTATCTGAGAAGTCCTGGACTTGATTTATCTGGGTACTATAGTGCTTTAAAGCACAACTCCCAAGAGTTCAGTTAGAGCTGTGAGCATTCAGCATTTCTGAAAATTAGACCACAGGGTCTCAAGTCAGGCAACCAGAAAATGAAGAATAGACAATTAGCAGACACCTATTTATTTTGGGTTCTTACTTTTCTAGCATCACACAGGAACTCTGCGATGGAGGCAGGGGTAAAAATCCAGGTCCCCAGGGCAGGATTGAATTGTCTGAATCATGATTCCATTAGTTTTTAGTTTTCCGAACTCATTCAATGCACACCTTCCAAATTCTGCAACAAAACTCATCAAATGAAGAAAAGAGGCTGTACACTCCTGGTTAAAACCCAGAGCAGAGTTTGAAAATTGTGCAGTTAATCGGACAGAGGGCCACTCATTGAACAATAAGAAGCAAAAAAATATTCAATAGATGCTCACAGACCAGACACTGGCCATTCTCTGCATGAAGGAAATATTTGACCCATGTAAATAATCAAAGAAAACTAGGATGGAAGGGACCTCTAAAGGTCATCTAGTCCAACTTGAGGCAGGATCAACCCCATCCAAAGCATCCTGTACAAATCCTTGTCTAACCTATTACTAAAACTATGCAGTCAAAACTGTCACAGCTGCAAGGTATAGCACCCTACCCTACCACAGGTAAAGGAAAAGTTGTTATATGCTTGGGTGATCCAAGGAAAAGGGCTATGTCCCCTGTTATATAGGAAAGCAAAACTCCCCACAGTCTGTATCAATATGACCATGGGGTAAAATTACTTCCTGACCCCAAAAACAGTGATTGGTCTAACCTGAAGTGGAGGGGCAAGACACTCTAGCCAGGAACTTCTGGATTTAAGTCCCAGCAGGAACATTGACACATCCTAGTCAAAATCCCCAGCCTTGGCTGCAGCCACCACCCAATGCTTCTAGGAAGGTGAACTGTCCTCCCTGTCACCCCTTTGCAGCCCCATGTGGCAACCAGCAAAAACATACTGCTAAAAAAATCTGTTCCTGTTATCAGTCCTGAGGAAGAAACAGTAGGTCGTCAGGTATTTAAAGACTCCATTACTACATCGATGCACAAGGGAACCAAATTAAAGTTAAACAGGCAAACCTGATTCTTAGCATTCCTTAGTGTTTGAGTACTTACTTTGTAACTTTAATAATTATTCTTTTTATATATAAGCTTTTCTTGGGTGTTGGTGTGGTGTGGGGAGGACAGGACACCATGCAGAGATTGGTATGGGGCATATTCTTTGCTATCTCTGTTTTATGTTGGGCAAATAAAACAGGGAACAGTAGCTTAGTCAGGAAAGAATGGGGGAGGTGGGGGGGATGTAGTGGTGCAGTTGCATCTCCCCTCCCCCCCGCCTTTGATTCCTGCTTTACCCAAAATGTAAAATGAATTGATGGTAGTGGAAGCAGCGTTTATAGTCAGGCAGCAGTGATGGAGTCACTTCATGGCTCATTATAATCTACCTGATTCCTTCTAAACTTCAGTCCATAGGAATTAACAACCCTTCTTTTCTCATTGTCTTAATGTTAATAATCAAGCTGTTCTTTCTGCTACAATTCTGCTGTTTGCTAGTTGCTCCTGGTAATGTAGCTTCTATTTCACAGCCCTATAGGCTTTCAGTTTCTTTTTACCTTGAGAAAAAATATGTTGTGTTATATATGATGCTGCAGTGCACAATCTTCACCTCCCTTTTCAAAATCCAAGATCTTGCCATGACCCTGGAAAAATTGTGTCACTGGGGTATTTCTGGAGTGCTTTCTTCTCTGCCCTCCCTACCTTTTGTGCCACTGGCTCCAAGGAAGGTGTCAGCTCCAGAACTTTATGCCTGTTGGTGCTTCCCCACACCAGGAGGTTACAAGAGGTTTTGCACTGAAGGAGACTGAAAGGAGACTGGAGTGAACTAGAGACTACGATCCTGCATCACTATTGTAAACTCAGGCACATGAGCGACTGGTGACTCTGGGTGGGCACTAGTGGCTGATCGCTGCCAGGGGAGGGGGGGTCCCAATTTCGGGGGGGACACGTGCTCCCGTGTGCCCACACTACATGTCGCCTATGCTCAGGCACACTGGAGCAAATGTAGCAGTTCTGTTGTGCAGGGTGGATTTGGAGGCTTTGAGTGACGAAAAGGAGGTAAGAGACATTGGTTATGGGCAGGTGTATGGCTAAGAATACACTCAGCTTTGTGGATCTTGCCATCCTCCATTCAGTGGAAGCCCTTTGGGGTCATAGAGGACTATTTTGTAGCACTGTTAAGGTAAAGTAGTGATGCCTTTTTAGGGCTACTGTTCTCTAGCTGAGTGTGGGGAGAGATTCTTTTCCCCCTGACTTTCTGTCAAGACACCCACAACCTAATCTGCAATTAAGGAAGAGCACTGGGTCTCTGATGGGCACTGAGTCCCATTGTTGAGAGCAAAACCACTTTGCTTTGTAAAATGGAAAAAAAAAAAAAGTCAAACTCACCAGCCCCAGGAAGATGCAGAAGAGCTGAACCACATCAGTGTAGGCAACTGAGTACAGTCCACCCACTACAGTGTACATCGTTGCAATCAGAGCAGAAACAATAACTGAAATATTGATATTTATATCAATTATCACACTTATTGTGGCACCTGTGGGGGGAGGCAACAAAATACAAATTGTTAACTGTTTGTTCTTTCTGTTTAAAAAATATTCTCTAGGCCGATGGCTTGCACTGGTTTCAAGATTTGTTTCGTTCTACAATGCGGAATGGTTCTCTTTGGCTCAGCCATGCCTTTATGATACAGCCTAGATGAAGGAGTGGCAGGGAGCGGCACTCTCCTTCCTCCCATGGAGAGTTTCCTTGAGTATTTATGTTGGGGAAAAGTTTACTTTTGCCAGTGCTGCCATCTGTTATTCAGACCAGTGCATGGTGATGGAGTAGATAAAGAGCCTTGAGTTTCCGACACAGCTTTTTAAGACAGGAGGGAAAGACCAGACTTGGTGGATTTTCCTTACTGGAAAGTGAACCTGTCTATGTGGAGAATGGCCCATCAAGGGCATAAAATGGTTACATTTGTTCACACAGAAGCTATAATTCAGAAGCCTCTTAGATGTATAATCATTAACTTTCAGTTGTTAAGACACCAAAAATTGTTCACAATACTTGCTTTGAAATATCGCATAGAGCCTTCTCCAAAATGAACTGAGCTTCATTCAGAAAAGAAAGCACATTTTAAATCCTTAGAAAATACTTCAGGCCACTCATCTCACATCACCTCAGCATGAAATTTGTTCTCAAATTTTAAGAGTTTTGTGACAAAATTATGGTAAACAAGTTTCCCATTGCTTTGTAGCTAATCAGAGCACAGTGGGAAAAAAAGCTCCAAATTTTATTTTTTGTTTTTAAAAACAATTGTGCTAAAAAATAAAGGCAATAGAGGTGCATTGTGCATGTTATTTGCTGGTAAATAATTAAGAGTGCTAATGGTTACTCAACTAAAGGGCTTTTTCACTTTTAAAATAGACAGAAAATCTAAATCTCTACTATAATTAAAGAGCTCAGCAACATAACTATTTTCAGGGATGGATGAGAGGTTTGGTGATTTTGTATTGAGCCATGTTTCAGTTAGTTCTCTGAATCATTTGAGTGCTAGGATTTTTATTATCATTATTATTTTGACAAGTACAGATGCATAATAAACCTGGATTCCCTGATAAGTCTCAGGTCCAGAAAAAGTACTTTATAGCTGCTTCTGCTGTGGTCAGATGGAAGTGACTATACTATTTATATGTGTTGTCAATAAAGTTGTGTGGCTATTTTTGAAAGCTGTTATAATTTTTGTGACTTTGAGGCTGTTCAAACTCAGCACAAAGATATACTTTTATTTGGAAAATAATCACTGAAGTCCCATTACAATTAAGGAAAGTGATGTAACTAAAACTTTTCTTGTTGCTTTGAAAACATTTTGCTCAAAAATAAAGACTCCAGAGCACTTCATTTAGTGCTGAGGCAATCAAGGTTCTGATAATCAAATAGATGGAAACCATCCCTTTCCAAACTGTCTGGCCAAAACAATCAGCGTTTAAAATCAGCCTGTGGATTTAGCTGTTGATTTTTAATCTATGTTGCTTTCGTGACTTTCTGATGTTCTTAACTTGCCCTTGAGGCAGTGAAGTATTCTTTTGTTTTATTACTAATTCCTTACCTAATGCAGAAAATATGGCAGCAGCCCAGAACATCTCTCCCATTAATGCAGGGATAAACAACAGCCCTCCCATTCGTTTTCCATACATCTGCTGGAAAGGGTCTAACATTGTAACATAGCCTTTGGAACGCATGGGTTTTGCAAAAAACAGACCACCTAAAATGTTAAACATTAAAAGACATCAATGTGAGTGGAGAAATACATTTACCTTAAGTAAAACCTTGCTGTTTTTTGCAGGTATACAAATAGTAGCCATACTGTATTTTTACAGAAATAAGTATAATTAAAAATATCCTACAAAGGAGATTTTATTTTCGGGATAAGAAAAGGGCTTTTTCCAAGAGTAGGATAAAACTAAAAGAAAATCATTAACAATCCTTACCTACACTGACACCTGCAACACTGATCTATATGGTCTAATTATGAAATAAATCTTAATTTTTAAGTCTGTATGGTTCAGGGCTTTCAGCCTGCTGTTGGTGGCACTCAGTGGCCTTTCATCTAATAGTGTTGCTTAGCTTACAAACAGCATATTGGAAGAGCACAGGAGATTGTTTTTTGTTAATATTTTAATTATGTAGTTGTCCAATGCACCACTACCCACCAGAAATGGAAACAAGTACTGAAATGACCGCAGGTCTGGTTTTCTTCATAATGTTACTCCATATCTATATAATTTAGGCTTCATTGTGGAGCTCTAATGTAGTCAATGGAATCCTATCAGAATAGAACTTGTGAAATGCATTTGGGATACACGGTAATTAAAAGGCAAATCAACCTCCATTAAAATCAGTTGTCAGTACCTTTCTCCATATCAGGTACATGAGAGATTTTTTCTACAGGAGATTTCATAAACATCTTAAGCTTTTCCCACATCACCCAAAGTCTCTCTGCTGTGTAAAGACTGGGGAATGGAGGGCAACTAGCTTACCATGTCAAATTTACTTTACTTTTGTGTTACACAATAGTTGAGTATTTTGGATGAGTACAAGTAGTTATTCTGCTATTCTTTTGCTGTTCATGAATTCTGTGTTGTTTCTATTTGTCATATCATATATCTTCCTTTTTGGGGCAGTAGAAGAGAATTTAAGAATGGAAAAAAAAAAAGTAATATATCAAGAAAAAGAAGATTTAGGGTAACAGGAAAAGCTTACTCAATCTCCCAAGGGATTGGCAGTCTCAATCTCCCAAGGGAAGTTAGGGATGTTTCGCCATTTACAGCATTTAAAACTAAACCAGATGGAACCCTTGAAAGCGTAGTCCACAGAAAAATTTTGAATTGTTAGAAAAATCAGTTCAGTTTGGGGTCTTCTCTTACTAACTTAAGTATTTTTTTTATTCTTCCATTGAAGTTTATTAAAAATACACAAACAAAAGCAGGTGGAAAGTTCCAATGCACAGTGTATGCCAAAAAACAGCTCTCTAACTGTAGTCCACAAAATGTGGTCACTTGTCCAACTTTTCCTCCTGTTCAGCTATTTTGACAGAAGTTTAAATGTTAGCAGTGCAAAGAAGACTTTGGATGTATCAGCAGAAGAAGGGGAAGAGGAAGGGAGGCACATTCAGCCTGGTTTTGAGGGAATGCTCCTAAGAAGTGTATTTTAATACTAAAATGTATTAAAATACATATTTTAATCCCATCAAGGTATGGTGGACCTAGAACACAGGCCTTCAAATTTATGGGTAAGTGCTTGATGAATTTTGGTTCTTAAGCAATTTTGCACCCACTAAACATGGTTGACTCAAAGACCCAGATTTTGGCCAAGCCTTTTGGCCCATAGGCACCGTATGCCTCAGATTCACATCAGTAAAATGGGGATAATGCAATTGTGAAGCTTTCAGATACTATAGTGACAGACATCATCAAAGCACCTAAGAAAGGGTGAACTGAATAAGTAAAAGCTAACAAAAGATACAAAAATATAAGAGATACAATATAAAAAAAGAAGAGGGGAGAGAAGAGAAGAAGAGAGGAGAAGGGAAAAGCTTGTTTGATTGCCATACTTGGCTAATGAGTTCAAAGGGGGTGAACCATGGTTATGAACACATATTCATTTGGAGCTGTTTCAAAAGGGATGCGGGGTGGGGGTGGGGGGCTTTCAAGATGTTATATTCTTATTGTTACATGTCGACAAGCTAGGAAAGCTCTAGAGGCAGCAAAACCTCTCCAACTTTAACACTTCTTAATTTAGTGGAGCAGTTTTGCTACCTCTGTTTCACTCCTAGCTTATCCACACATAGCAATTTGAACGTAACAGCTGCTGCCCTTTTCAAAAGTTCCCCTTTTGAAATGGCTCCAAGCATGCATGTGTCCATACTCTGTTGGTATCAAAGGAATTCTTTAGGATTTAAGTTGTCAGATTATTTGCAGTAATTAGTAGTGCATTTGTTTCTTGTTTAAAGGCCTGCTCCAAAGCCTGGTAATAACACCAGAAAAACTCTGTTTATTTTAATGGCCTTTTTATCAGGCCCTTGCTACAGGGATCAAACAATTATGACATTAGCATACCTCTGAAAAATACTGAGGTACTAATTTATTTTAGTTCTTTGCTTACCTAAAATCAGGCTAAGGGAATATCCAATGGGTGCCTGTGCCCAAGCCAGCCCATAGCCTGGGACATACACAACCTCTGCGGTCCCATTGATGTAGCCTCCTCCAACCCAAGTGGCTGAAAATGAAAAGGTGAAAGACTTAAAATGTATATGATGCATCTACATGAGATGCTATGTCACTGTAGCCACAAGCTACATCGCCTTACCTTGTTGCTACAGCAACATAGTGTCAGCAGGCATGAACCATGACGCGGATGCTACTGCACAGTAGCTCACCGCTACAGGGCAGTAGCACTGGAAATGACCCATGCAGTACCAGGACTGTGCAATCATGGTGGTTACTATGCAGTCATTTAGTACTTGCTTCAGTAACAACTGTGCAGTCTGGTGGACACGTAGACATGCCCATAAAGAAGGAAAAACACTCATGTCATATTTCAAGCAGTAAACCATACCATGATGTCTAATATTACAATTATTTATTATTTATTGTACTAGTCACTAGGAATATTAGACATGAGTCAGTCATGGACCACCTCCCCCCACATCTGCCAATGTGCTGGGGGCTGTACAAAGATAAACTAGAAAGATGTTTCTTGCCCTCAAAAGCTTTTACAATCTATATATGATAGAGGAGACAACAGTCATACTGAGGGCGCATCGACACATGCATATTAATGGGAAACATCGTTTGCACATGCGCCTGGGACTGCAGCACACTGAGCCAAGTCAGAGCAGCCCCAGCTGGCAGGCAGCCCTGGGGTCAGTTTGCTGGCCTGGGGATGCTCCCCCAGCTCAATGTGTTGTGGAGGGGCTGGCTGGAGCACAAGGGTGCTTCAGCACGGGGCTAGCTCCCGGCAGTGCTTGCATTGTAGCACTATCATGCCCAGCCACCTCGGGCAACTTCTACACGTGGCTGCGGTGGAGTTAAAAATTCTGCAGCAGGATAGAACTTGTATTTACAAGTAAATTAAGTAAATCCAAGTTCTATCCTGCTCTGAAGTAAATTAGTTTACTCCAGCCTAATAGGGGCACACATGTGTATGCAGGACATTTATTGTGCAACTAATTAGTCTACTATTAGTGCAGTAAATATCTTGTGTAGACATGTCCATAGTGTACAGTGGAAATGTGAGACAATATTAGTCAGCCATGATAATATAATGGGCTAAACAAGCAACAGCCTAACAATTATTTTTTGGAGGCATAGCACTGAACAAACTTATTAAAGGGGAGATCTGAAGGAGAAAAAAAAATCTACATATATAAAGCTTGGCTCAACCAGGAACATTCTGTATATTTAAAGCTGGCAAAAGCCCAACAAATGCATTGTTGACTAAGGTGTACTTAAAAGACGTGCTCTTAAAATGAGGCTTGATTTTTTTACTTCCCCAGACAAGTTAAAATTCTCTTGTTTTAGGCCAATTTTGACTGATTCCAATGCTAACGGGATCTGTGGTGTACTGCTTTAACTACCCAGTGTTTATAATTTGGCATATATGTATTTAAGCTTCCTACATACATATTCCTGAATTGAGCTATGCTACATCTATAAGTTCTCCATTCATTTATATGAGGAAGTGCAATATAAGTTGTGTTACCAAGTCTTGGCAGATAATAGATTGATTCCTGTCTCTTATAGAGAGCTTGCCAGACCTGGGAGTTTGAAAATTAACACTAAGGCTAGGGACAGACATTACACATAAACTGGTTTAAGTGCTCAGAAACTGGTTTAAACGTGTAACAGAACTGAAGTTCAGTGCACATAAATCAGTTTGAAAATGACTGAAAATGGTTTGAGATAAACCTGGTTGAATGTAGTATCAGACTTAACTGATTTGGGTCAAACTGGTTTATACAATGCCTGTCCCAGACCCCTTCCTGGTTTAAGCTAAATCAGAGTCCCTCAGCATCCTGGCATGCTCTCTGGGCTGGGCTCTTTGCTCCAGAGAGCTTGGCTGGCCCATCCCCTCTGCTCCCTGGCTGGATCTCCAGCAGAGACTGGATGCACATTGGGGTGGGCATGTCTTTTTCCTCCTTCTCCCCACCCTCTCACCACTCCCTGCTGAAGCAGGGACCAGCCCTTCCCCTCTGCCTTACATAGACACCTCTTAGCATTAGCTAGCATACCACATGCTGGCTATGGGTTGTGCTGTGGGAGACGGGACAAAGGCAAGACAGGACTGTGTCTGCTTAGGGCTTTTTGGAGCTAATCAACAGTTAGCTGGTAATGTTCCTCTGTTCCATCCTTGGAAAAGCTGTTTAAGAAGAGCTTGAACTAATGGAGACAGGCTGTTGTTGTCTTGATGGGCTGATAAACACTGAGTTAGGGGTGATAAATAAACACTGTGTTATCAACTCCCTGCTGGGCTGCTCAAGAGTGGCTCCCTAATCAGGGCATCCTGCCTTCCTCAGCTCAGTACTGTGGAAGGAAAGAGAGGGCTGCTCTAGCACCCCATGGCTTGTAGCCTGAGCCACTGCAGGCATGTGCCTGCATTTCTTCAGTCCAGAGGGGATGTGTGTATGGTTACAAACTGGTTTAACCTAGCCAGGTTAGACTAATGTGCAAAGATTGATACAATTCAGGCTCCAGCTCTTTGAATGCCTGTCCCTAGCTTCAGCCTTTAAAGTACAGATCTCATATGCAGAAGTATATTGTAATTCAATCCTGACAAATAATTCTTAACAAATGATTTAATGAATGTTCTCTCTTCCTGTTCGCAGGCAATATGTAAATATACCTTGATTTCCTTTAGAATGCAGTTGTAGCTAGAGTTACTTGCCGATTGATTTTATGAATTAATTCTTGGATCTATAGTTTGCTCACAAATAGTTCATTATATGCATTAGATTTTTGAATGCAACAAAATCTGAGCTGCTTTGATTTGATGCAAAGGCCACAAGCAGTTGTTGATATTTTCTGTGATTGGTTGAAAATTAGTGTAACCTTTATAATCATACTGCTCATGTAAAAACTTATGATTCTAAATCAGAAATTCACATTCTTCAAGTATTCTACAATATTATCTTAGCCACAATTGTTTCAACAGGCATTCATGCCAGTAAATCAGTTTGCTAGGATTTTTGAGGAAAGCAATGGCAAAGCAGGCATGTACATAGATAAAACACATTTATTATAAATAGCTCAGAAAATTTTGATGGAAAGTTATTTTTAATATTCTCTTCACACCAATTGAATTAGCCCACAATTGGTGAGAAATTGAGGACACTTATATTTTTGGTTAAATTGCAACTTTCCAAAGGCTAAGATCTCTTCTACCCTGTATTTAGAAGCAAAACAGTAGTCTTACGTGTAGTTGTGTGTATTCATAGGGGATATGTTAGGGATACTTGAGAAAAAGAAGGTCTGCTGGGAATGGCTAAATGTTTTTGCTTGTGATCCTGTTGTTGTCAGTGGACATGTTGGCAAGATTTACTGTGCAACATATATAGACACTGGCCATGGAGACAAGGTGTGTGCCTAGATGTAAAGGGACAGAGAGAACACTCTCTCATTACTGATCCTTGGCACCAGAACCCAGCAAGACAGAATTACCAGTATATAGCTCACACTATCAGCTCTTTTGAATCTGTTGATGGTGACTTAAAAAAAAGGGGCTGGGTAAAAAGCCCGGAGAAAATGGCCTGCAGTGTACTCTAGTCCTGCAGCGTGCAAATGGCTTATTACTAGTTTTAGAAGAAGAAATTGGTGATAGGTCCCTAGATGCTATAGTTACAGTCACATTGTAAATAGGCAGAAGGATGGACATTTTTATCTGCTTTACTGGAGAGGATATGAGCAGGACAGTTGCAGAACGATGCCCAGTACTAAGGGTCTAAGTCAGGGGAGGGCAAAATTCGGCCTGCCAGGCCATTCTATTCAGTGCATAGCCCACAGGGCCCCTAAAAAATTTAGAAAATTAATATTTATCTGCCCCTGGCTGCCTGTCGTGAAGCCCTCGATGGCTTGCCAAAACTCAATAAGTGGCCCTCCACTCAAAATAATTGCCCACCCCTGGTTTAAGTCCCCATGGGGTCAGAGCTGCAGTAATAGAATTTTTTTCAATTGGCACTGCTTTAATTTATACTTAATGAAGTTGTCAATGGGGACAATTAGTCTTTGGAACTAGATTCCCTTATCCTTGCCAGAAGTAGGCCAAATTGCTATAAACCTTCATGGATGGTTGCAGAGTCCATCCACTTTCCCCAGGCTTTCTGGAGGAAGGATGAACAGAAGATTAGTGTTTGTGGGGAGGGTGGAGTACAATTTGGTGCTAATTTTCATTTCCTATTTATTCTGTTTCTGGATTTAGGGGTGAGAAGCAGCTTTTATTATTATATTTTTGTTTGCCAGATTATTTTAAACATCTGTCCAAAGAACCTTGAGCTTTGGAGGACAGTATTTTGGGAATCATTTGTCCTGTTAATTAGAGCTGAAATACCTAGGATGAAATGAGGATGGATTTTCATTCTTCAATGTGAATTTTCTGATACTAACTTTTAAGTTATTCTAATGTAAGCTTTTTGTCAAGTCTTTTTTTAAATAAAAGAATTGGCTGAAAGGAATGAATAGTAACATTTATATGGGAAGTTATTTTAGTTTATCTAAATGCATTCTTGAAGACATAAAAATCAAAACCAGACAATGAACTGATTTATACAAACTCTGTGAGAAATATTACAGATTACATGTGTGCTAGTGGCATATAGTCAAAGTCTATTCCTGGTAGAGATGAAGACACAGCAACACATATTAAATGAACCTTCTATGATAATGAGCATCAAAAATATTTAATAAAAAACAATCCAGCATTCTTTATGAGATGCTCTGTTTACTACACAGTCAAATCATCATCGAGCTAATCATATGTTGTAAAACAGATATTGGTCTACTGATTACACAAACAGCATTTTGATACTGATTTTCTTTATGGAAGAATATATAGACAACCAAAATGAATAATGGTATCTGAGCATTGTTATTATGACTCCACTTGGAATGCTATTGCTAGGCTGTGTCGGTATTTTGATGAGACAATCTTCAGCAGTTCCCCAATGTTGAAACTCAATCATACAAATTTATGGTAGGCTGAAATTCGCTATTGATCTCAGTATGGATGGAAGTGGGAGGTTGGGGTAAGTGTTATTACAAATAAAAATGCTAATAGTTCAATTTTTAAATTGCATACAGGTAAAGCTAAAATATGAATGAAATATTTTTCTATATTTGTAAAATAATTTCAGTTTTAAAATGAAATGTTGAGATTTATTCATGATTCAATCTTTTATCTGTTTGTATTTTAAGCACAGCAGATACATTCAACCTTCAACCATGCTTTGTGTTTAGGCATATTAATTACTTTTTAATACATCTGTTTCTTCAGAAGCATAGCATACACTTGGATTTTCCCTACAGGCACTATTTGTGGGGAGTATATAATTTACAAAATGTGCAAAAGCTATTTTTTTAAATAAACTGTAATGGCTGTGACTGTAATAAACTGTTACTGACTCTAGGATTAGGCCCTATATTTCATATTAAAATCTATAGACTCAATTTTTCTATAGCCATCTTGAGTACCATACTGCTATAGAAATAACTCCTTTTTGTTTCAGTACTAAATTGTTGTTCACCCTAGGGAAGAGTGGCAGAAGACCCTATCTCATAAACATAAAGTGTTTCAATTAAAGCATTTTATTATTTTCTAAATGCTTATTTACAGGCTGTGCTGTGGGGAGCTCCCAGCAATTTCTAACGTACATTGTCATTTTCATTTACATGAAAAGCTTTGTTTACTGAATTACCATATAGATATCCAAGAGAGGTAAATACATGAAATTATACTAAAATAATCATATTACCACTCAGGAACTTAGAAACTGAGACATTTTCCTTAATAAATACTTGGATGTTATAATACACGCAAAATTAAAAAAGTAAAAGTGCCTATTGTATAAGGCAGCATAATTTTAATTGTTATTAAAAATTATTTTGTGGTTATAATTTGACTCTTGCCCAGGTATCTTAATGCAGACAAAATTCAGTCTATCCTCTGATTCTGCGGACGTTTAACCTAACATACTGTGAATGTCCTTACTAAAATCAATGTTGTGCTAAACTTTATACGCTACCGGTAGTTTTATGCTCACTTTAACAGGAGAGGATGCAAATACACAATAGCTTTGCATAATCAGACCTTATCCTGTAACATATACGGGGGTTTATCCAAACAAAGGCTTCAGGGTCAGGCCCGATTAGTAGTATAACACAGGTGGTGAAGGGTGCAAAAACAGTCCAACTATGTTGTTTGTCCAACTGCTCCAGCCACCGATACTGTCCTGTGCATTGCTGATACCTAGGTTGCTCAGGTGCTCAATTACAAACTAGGGCCTAATGTACATGCAAAAATCATGTCGCCAGGAGAGCTGACTATAAGACGACAATTCCATTTTGAAGCAACTTTTGGTTCTGGAATCTAATTTTCATTCAACATTAGCACAAAACTAAAACATTTGGAATGGTTTCTTGGAAAAAGGTGAGAGAAGTGGGTGGATGATTAGGGTACTGGCTTAGGATATGGCAGACCCTGGGGTTTCTGATACAGGATGAATAAAAATCTGTACTCTGCATCTTTCCTACCCCAGGCCATTATCCTCAGCCATAGAAGCAGTGTCTTTAAAAATGTTTCCAAATACAAATTTTGTAGAAATAGATATGTCTCTAGAAAAAAAAAATCACTTTGATCAAACAGCATCTTCTGGCAAAGCTTAATTTCAACAAAAACAAGTCTGAGCAGCTAAAACTACTAGTGATATCCAGCCAGATCTCAATAGTTCAGAAGCAATGACTACCCCAAACAGCAAACAGTGGAGGGAAAGAAGTGAAGTATTAGCCTTGATTCAAACTCTTTCAACTTGTGTACCTTAAAACATCACCCTTAACAGTCTTTTCAGCACAGGGAAGTCTGCAATCCTTAAATCAGCAAAATTTCTATAGCCGCCCATAAGAATTTTGCTTGATCAAAGATAGCACAACTTTGCCCTAATGAGTCTTTTCTTCCTAGACAAGGCTGAACCTGAAAACCTGACAAAAGAAGGAAATTTAAATGAGATCTGATAAATCTAATTTGGAATTGTAAGGGTTTTGCTTGAAAGGCATATGTTATACCATAAAGCTTTGAAATAAAATGTATCCACTGAAGTCGAGATTCATATATTGTAAATTTGTGTAAAAGTACACGGTATAGTAGACGATATTTGTAACTTCAGGGCTAACAGTGAACTTACTCCAACTGGGGAGGAATGATTCACCCAGCAAGTCCCATTAGCTTTGGTTGGCCAACCAGTCCTCTCAGACACTTCAGCGAACCTCTTAAAGTAAAAGAGGTTTCACTAAGGTAAGTGCAATTAGAAGTTAATCATCACATAATCTCTTCCTGCTAATATTAGCATGTACAGTACAACATTATACCATTTTCCCAACTCATGTCAAAGAGGTTAAAACACTCTAGGGTGTATGTCTATTGAAACTGGCAGTACTACTCATTGGGCAAATCTGGCCCAGTGCATCAAAAAATGGGCTTGGTGCAGCAATTTTTTATTCATTCATTTTTGCACTTAGGCTATTTTTCTTATTGAACACAGCACTAGCCCATTAGTTCAGCAAGTTATAATGTACACAAAAATTATGTTCACTCCACTGACAACTCTGAAATCATTACTGCTCCAGGCATGTCTATTTAAACCATTAATACAGGTTCAGTGAAAAAGAAACTGACTATGTATTTTCCTTTAAAGCTTTTATATACGATAATTATTATTAAAAAAGAGAGGTTGTTTTTTTAAAGGACAGCATTACACAAGCAAACAAGAAATATTCTTCCTAAATTGTAATTGCGCTTAAACTCAAGATGTCGTTTCTCCATTTTGAATTATCAAAAACCGAACCTGCTTGTGAAACCTTTCTATGAAAGAATGACATGCTGTGTATTGTGTATATAAAAAAAAGATAGGTTTTAACATACCGGTCATTGTAAATCCACCAACTAGCAAGCCTATATCTCTTCCACCGACTATAATGGCTTCTCTGCGGTCTCCACTGCTGCCAGTATTTTTGGTTTTCCAGGCAGCCCATATTCCAACAAGCAGGATTGCCAAGTAGAACACAATTATAGCTACCAGCCCCTCCACATGGAAAGGCATGTTGAAATCACGATTGTTCCTTGAAATGCTATTTCATTAAGATTTCTGGAGAGAATGCAATAATACAATTGCTTTTAACAAACCAGATTAATGTTACATGGCACAATGAAACTAATTAGAGCCAGAATATACTGAAAACTCAGCTGGTTATTAGTGAGATTATGATAATTAGATTATTGAAGCGTTATTTCACATGTAACGAGCAAGAGTGTATGTTTGTGGTTTAAAACAATACAATTGGCACCAATTTTTCACAAATTTCTAAGAAAACCTTGAAACTAAAGTCAAATTGTCACCTGAAAAGGTCTTAACTTGTTACAGTAACAGAAAAATTAGGAACATGTGATTTAAATGAAACAGGATGTAAGAACTGCTTTTGTAATAAACCACTTAGTAAAGCAGAATTGTAGTAGTTCAACATATACCTTGGTATATTAGAACTTTCTTCTCATGACACTCTTTGGCATGCACCCTCCAGAACAGAAGATGTTAGTAAAAGTCATTCATTTTAACAGAAAGCATTGAGAGAGTTTAAAGCCACACAACAAAATTAATGGCTGACAAAAGCTCTGGACAAATAATAATCACAAAAGAATATAAAAAACTTGAAATCCAGCACACTTTCCCACCCCCTAGTATCTCTGTCCTCATCTCTTATATTTATACATCTAAATTTTCTTTTTGATAAGACAAAAATTCCTCCCACATCCCATGAATTTCTTCAGTTTTGTCATAAATTTGATAAACAGCTTCATTAATTTTAAATTCAGACTTCCACCTGCCAAATTGCCAAAATAGCAAGATTGAGATTTATCTTAGATAAACAGACTGCACAGGATTGAAGCTCTTACAAAACAAAAAAACATTCAGTGCACCCTAGCTCTTTTTTCTGAATACAGCTTTTCCATTCCACAAACAGGTAGTTTTTAATTCGCTGGTATTTAACAAAAATCTTTAAGTCAGCATACTCTGTGGAGCTTTAGCTAAACAAAATATTTAAGTTTGCCACAAGTCCAAATGAGGTTTAACTACACCCTGGTGAGCTGTTGTAATCTAGGTGGAGAACAGTACAGTCTTCCAACCCTGTGCACATCACTATCCAGCACCTGTGAAATACACAGTCAGCCTTTACATTTAAGCAAAGCAGTAGCTGGAGACAGTTTTAAGTTCAAACAGGCAAACCCTGAACTCTCTTGCTAGCCACAGTAGCAAGTTAGATTCATTACTCACGTTCAGAGAAAATAGTTCACTGTATCTTTTGTTCGATCCAGCCAAAGGTTTTCCCTTCAAATATTCGCCCCCTCAAAGCTATTCTCTTCTCCAGTGTTACTTACTCTTTTCTCTGCCCTCATTCACCTCTTTTGCAGCAGGTTTCCTCTTTCCCCTTCTGTCTCAGCTCTCTCTCTCCACTCTCACTTGAACTGGCATCAGGCAGTCGGATCCCAGTGCCTTGTGTCCACCCACAGAGGCAGAGTGTGAGCAGCAGCTTTCCCCTTCTTTAAAGGGACAGGCACATTGCAAAGGCTCCAGCCCCTCAGCAGCATCAAGTCTACCAGAGCACATGCACACAATGTCCTGTGCAGCAGTGCACACTCCCCCGCCAGCTAAGAGACATTCCCCGCCAGCTAAGAGACGCCCTGGGTTCCCTTCATGGGAAATGCTGCTTCCCCACCTCTACTCATGCATTCCAGATTTCCATGGGGAGAAGCACTAAGTGTTCAGCCCATCCCCAAAGGAGAGCTCTCTAGGGCTCTTTGACTCCTGCAGAAAGCACAGCTGAGCAGCAGGTCCGTTCCCCAAATCTTCTTAGTTTCTCTAGCCCTCAGGTGACAAGTGTAGAAAAGACTCAGTCACCTCTTTCTATGTGGCTTGCCTTTGTTCTAGGGCAGTGAGTGGTTATTGTACTCACAGAGAAAAATCCCTTTATAAGGAAGAAGGGATGAGTGGGGTGAACGAGAACTGTGACCGTCAGAGTTGGGGAGGGGTGGAGAAAGACGTCAGTGGGGAGAGAGGATGACTCAAAGGAGAGTGACTGCAAGGGGAAGGAGGGAGGGAGAAAGAGGCAAAGCAAAGGTGAGACGGATGGAAGGGATGAAAAGGACTGCTGTTGAGTAAAGGAGGGTGTCCGACCTGAGAGGGAAGAAAGGAATTGAACAGACCCACTGGGTTACAGGGGAGAAGAGTGACCAGAAAGAGAGAGAAGGTAAATTAGGGGAAACCCAGTGAGGAAAGTAGGAGTTGTCATCACCTTCCTCAGCACCCTCACCGTCAATTTTGAAGATGGGCCTAACACTGGGCAAGAGAAAAAGTGAGCACTGCACCCCCTGCCACCCCTGCAGTTCAGGACACTTTGTCCTTTCAGATCCAACATGAACCTGCTCATCCCCTGATTGCAGGATTGCCCATCCTGGTGATATTTCCTTTCATAATATTTGATATTTTTCTTAAAGCCTCAAGCCAGGGAATTATGTGGTCATTCAATAATCTTGGCTTTTATTTAAAACTAAATTTTTGAGCCTTCATAATTACTGAGAAAAGCTTGAAAATACCACTCTTAATTACTCAATACCAAACAAAAAAAGAAAAAAGAAATACAAGAAATCAAAGAAAGAAGAGACCAACAGTTGTTGTTGTAAATGATATTAATAATAATTTATAATATAATCATTGTCAAACTTATGATTCTAAAGCCAGTCACTTGGAGAACAACCTCTTTAAGCTGAAAAAAACACTTTAAGCAGAAAAACATGTCAGGAAGTGGTGGTTCATAAAGGCTTCTTATTAACGTACCTGTCCCCCACCCCTTTTTCTGCTATATGTGTCTGGGTGTTTTTAAGCCTCCCCAGAGGCATTGGGTATTAGCTACAGCTAAGGCTGTGGACTTCAACTGGGATCTGCCAATGCTCTTGCTACAAGCAAAGCCAGATGTTCCTGGCTCAAGGGTCTTGCCCCTCTGCTCTGGCTCAGACTAATCACCATATTTGGGGTCAGGAAGGCAGTGGCGATGCATAGGGGGGTGTTGCCACTGTGTGACAGTGCTGGTGACCCCCCCTGCGAGCACTGGGTGGGGAGTGGGAGCACCATGGCCACTTCTGGGAGTGCCACAGCTGCTTCCCAGCTGGTGCGATTGGCTCCAGGGAGTACCCCCCCCGATCGCTGGCTGGTTGCTGGGGGGGCTTGTGCCCCCCTGACTAAAGTGGCACCCAGTTGCCCATGCAGGAAGGAATTTTACCCCAAGGTGAGATTGATATGGACTGGGGGGAGGGGGCTTAGGGGGTTGCCTTGTTCTGTAGAGGGTGGCATGGCCCCCTTCGTAACCTAGAGTTCATTTTTATGTTTTGTATAAAATTAAGGTGTTTCTGGTACTAATTGAAGGACTTGGAGGAAGTTAGTTACAATTAGATTTATTTAATTACACATAATTAATTGTCTCCAGCTGAAGAGAGAAAAAAGAGCAATGACAAGTCAAAATACAGAAGCAAAGTAAGCCAAATATTTTTTATGGCTTAATATTAAATTTAAAAAGAAAAAAATTCAGTCAGATCTAAAAATAGCATTGCTATTCCCAAGTTAGAACCATATCAGCAATTAAAAGTTCATAAATGCAGTTACAGTGCTCCAATAGAACCAGTGATAAGACTTCTATGCATCTTCAGTGTCTGTGGAGATAGGCTTTCACCCCAAAGTTGGAATAAATAAGCTATCTGAAGGTTATAGGACTCTAAGGGGAAATACTCCCTTTCTAAAAAATGATCTATCTAATGATATCCATTTGAAACTCAGTGTACCTCCTTCAAAAATATAGGCCATTTTCCCAGGTTTTGGAAAAAGATATAATTAGATATATGATGGTGCCACCAATATTTTAGTTAAGACTACATGATGGCTTTCTTGCTTGGCCTAATCACATATCAAAGGAATATTGTCTTTGATGTTTGTATGTGTATGCCATTTTTCCTGGCAGTGGTAAAAGGGAATCAGACAGTTCATCTCCAAGTTGCGGGGCTTAGAAAAATAGTAGTTTTGTTTAGTTCTTTTCATTTCTTGTCTTTTCATTTTGTTTCTTTTAATTTAATTTTTTGTCTATGAGCATAGCTGAAAAACAGCCGACCAAAAAATCTTTGTTCATTTTACAGCAGTTCTAAAATAAACCACAGCCTTTACTCTTCTGGAATTTTCATTGTTTTTCTACCCGCTTTAGATGTTTTTAGATCAAATATCATCATAGTATCTGAAGGCCAATGGGTTCATAACATTTTGCCTACAGTTACAGTTATGTACGATTCTAAAGCCTGATAGCAGTATGATAGATCATCCCTGATGCTGTGTTGGATTTAGGCTAAAACAACTGAAAGTACATGAAATAAAAGACACCTCCTAATTTAACCAACTGCTTGGACCTTCTTCATGCCTGTATAGAGAAGACAGTGTAGTTGATCTGCACTAGCAGTAGTTATAAAAATGAGAACTATTACTTCAGCTGCTGAACTAGAGTACCGTATTTCACTTCAGCTGCTGGTGGGCTAGGCAGCCCTGAGCTGTGGGTCGCCCCGGTCCTTCCACCTGCAGTGGCAGTGCCCCCTGGGCCCAGCTGAGCAGGCTGCCAGTGGGGTGCTGCCCCAGCACCTCACACACTATCTCCAACCACCTTCTCCCACCACCAGTACACCCAGTCACCCTCCTGCCATCCCCACCCCGCTGCACTGCCCATGGGGCAAGCTTCTCCTGAAAGTGGCTCTGGTGAAGTGGGATTGATTTATACACTGGAGTTATATAAATCCTAACTTTTTGGATTAGAAATATGGCATGGAATTGTATACTATGTCAAGTTGTACACCATAATATATGGTATATCTAACTGTACTTTTTCTTTCTTCCTGGACTACTCATCACTGATCTCACTGGATTAGCAAAAGTTTTCCTGTATTTGGTGAAATGCCGATGCCCTTCTAGTTTAGACAGCGGTGAGACAGGAAGCCTAATTTTCTATTGTCCATGATGGCTCATTATTTACTCTTTGGGATATTCAAAGGATGTGCACAGTTTATTTCTATGCAATTGAATTCTTCTGAAGACCCCTGCCAGTTTGATGATAGCTTAATTCCTGTTCCCCATGTTTCACATCTGAATGAAAATCATCTGCCAGCACCACACATCTGAATGAAAATCATTGCAACATAGACTGTACATGTAGCATTCGGCTAAAAAGTTTCTTAGAATGATGAATAGCTGGTAGCATCTCTACAATCAAATAGGCATTGTGTGTGTGTGTGTGATTTTGTTGCGGGTATTCCTGTGTAGGTTTTCTGTATAGGAAGTGGTGTTTGGTAGGATAACAGTATCTGTTGAATTACTCTTCCAGGCCAACATGCAGGAGGAAGGTGGTCACTCCTACCAGCTGCAAGCATCTTTCAAGGATTCCCAGCCCCCTTCCTTGCAGCTGTCAGTTTTACCTTGGAGCATTTTGTGAATGCAAAACCAGGGCAGATTCTGATTCTGTTCTCATTTACAACAATATGTCTGGAGTAAGTCAACTGAAGCTAAAGGAGTCACTTCTTACTTATACAGCTTTAAATCATAGCATACTCTGGGCTTAAACTGAACTTTTTCCACTATTTGTATCTAGGTTATTACTCAGCATTAGAGCTGCCTGGAGAATTACAATTCTGTTTGTCACAACTTTCAAGGTTTTGAAATTTTGTTTTTATGGTAATGTTAACAAAACCTGACAGCATGCAGGGGCATCAGGCCCTGGCCCGAGATGTGGGAGACACAACTTCAGATCCTTGCTCTGGTGCCTGATTCAGAGGATAGTTTTACCATCTCAGGTTAAAGATTTGAACAAGTCTCCACATTCAAAGCCAGCATCTTTATCATCAAATACAGAGTGTGAGTCAGCCTCTTTATTTTTCTTTTTTTCTTCACCCCTGTCTCCCTTCAGTTTTATGCCAACCACAATGTCTCCACAAAATATCTGAACTTTGATAAAGCGGCATATTTCCATGAAAATTTTCCAACCAGTTCTCCTCAGCATCACTAATTTATGCAAGTGTGCCAAACGGTGTTTTATGGAATTAGAGTCTAATTAGTTGCAAGTATAACTTGATCGCCATAAAAAAAATGTGTTTGAATCTATTGCAGATCATCGGAGCATATAAAATACATAGATTAGGCACAATGGATATCTTAATTATGGTGAAAAATCAAAATATTTGGGGGCTAACTTAAAAGTTATAATTCATAATACTCAAGAATCTCTGTGCTGGTTACATTGTATGATCCATTAGAAATAAAGATGTTCCCTGTCCAAGAATTCTTCAGAGATAAAAGTATTCTTCTGACAGATTTTGCATAGTTTTATGAAGTAATTTGCAATAGTTTGAAATAGTGAATAAACCACACACACGGTTTGTTTTTAAAATGCACTTCTGAGAGACTTCTGAGGAGGTTCTCTCTCATAATGCTTTTATTGCAGCTTAGCTTAAGGCCTGTAATAAAAGCTTTCTTGAGGCAGATGCTTAAGAAAGGTTTATGGTAGAATGATCTAAAAACAAAGACTCTAGATGAAATTGTGGCTTTTGGGATACCATTCACCTTAGATTCCCACTGCAATGTTTTTCTTAGCCATGGAGTTCCTGAAGAAATTATCCTTCCATTTGCTCAGTAGTTCATCCAAACCTCCTGGGATGAAAAACACTTGGAAAACAAAGCTGAAAGAAATTAACAACTGATGATTATCTTGAGGGGAGATACTGCAACAATTAAGAGTTCTGTGCTCTTCAGTCCTCAGCCAGTGTGTACCACAAACATGAGCTACTTGACTATATGCTGGAAAAAATGTTGAAGAAATGTCTGTCTTACAGTGGAAGATACTGTTGTAATTC